TCAATGTCCAGGATGGCCTTGTCCTTGGGGATGGCAGCCAGGTCCTTGTAGCCCAGCACCTGGTTATCCATCTTGGCCTGAAGTGAAATGGGGTAAATGGAGCAGATGTGCTGGAAGCCTCACCTAGGGCACCACCCTTGCTGGCTGGGCTTAGTTTGTTGCCAAGAAAGTGGGCAGCCATTTTAGATGGCCACTCTCACAAGTTGATAGCTCATTGTTTTAAGTTTAGGGATACAGATAGTTTTAAAAGACAGGATGGTCCTTTGACTAGTATTTTGAATGCAACAAGGCTAGACCCTGCCAAGGGCAGTGGGGAACCTTCCCTAGCTCTCTGGCTTCTCTCCACCTGCCAAGCACCGGCAGGACCAGCAGTGGGGGCCTGTGAGTGAAGCCAAGCGGGTGCCGCCCTCCCTCCTCCCGGCCTGCGGCTGCTGGTGGCGGACAGGGGTACTCACCACGATGCTGGAGGGAGAGCCGGGCACACTCGAGTCTCGGGAGGAGCTGACGCTCCCGGGGGAGGTAAGAGGTTGCTGGGGAGAGCGAGAAGGCGGCCGAGTGGGCATGTGCGTGGGTGCGAGGGCGGGGGCGCGGGTCTGCCCTAGGCCTCTGGGGACCTGGCGTGCTGCGCGGCGGGCGGCCACCAGGTGGCACCCTCGACTCCCGAGCTGGCCCTCGCGGGCAGCCCGCCCCCACCCGGCCCTGCGCCCCCTGCCCGGGCGGGTGCAGCCCGCGCACCTTCTGCAGCCGTTCCATGCGGCCCGGAGTTCGCCACGCCGCCGCTCACTCGCAGAGGCCTGTGCGCGGGGAGAGGACAGGGGTCAGGCGCGGCCCGGCTCCCGCAGCAAGGGCGTCCCCCCGCGCTGTCGCATCCTCATCCCTCGTCGACTCTCCAGGATGCTGACCGCGAGGCAGGTCTGGAAGGACAGGGAGGGCGGCGCCAGGAGGGCCGTTAGGCTCGGGTCTCCGCGGCGCTGGCCTCAGCTTTCCGTTCGCTCGGCCCCGACCCGGCGCGCGTGCGGACCCGCCGGCCGAGCGGACGCGCTGCACTTGTTTTTGAGCCATTGTTCTCCGGCTCCAAAGGAAATGACGGCAGGGGTCAGCCGGCTTCCCAGTGCCGGGTGGCCTTTACATCCCCTGTGCGCTCACACCTGCCGTGCCCTGCCCCCGCCCGAGTCCCGGCTTCAGGCCGCTAGGCCCACTCCCCGTCGGTCTCCTTTTCCCATTCTCCCGGGGATGCTCCAACGCAGAGGGACTTAGTCATACTCAGGAGAGAGTGGACGCAGGGCAGGAAGGGGCCGCGGAGCCAAGTGCACGAGGTCAGGCCACTGGCTGGAAACGGCGGCTTGCCCCAGAGGGAGCCCACACCCCCCACCCCCGTTCCTGGTACAGCAACCAGTCCTCCTTGCAAGCATTTGGTAAGGCCACATCCCTGCTCCCCCAGCAATTCCCCCCACTCCCTGCACTGGACCCCTTAACACGCAGGGAGTCTCCAGCTAGGTCCAGGGTGGCAGTGGCAGTGCCAGCAGAGCTGCCTATCCATATGCTGGCAATAAGCCACAAAATGAAGAGAGCTGTCAGCTATAGAAAGTACAAGGAGGTTAATGTGGTAGCTACAAGCATGGAACTGCTCTTAAGCCAGGGTGCCTCAGCTTGAGGAACTCTGCTACTCTGGATGCTGTGTGACCTTGGGCAAGGTATTTACCCCTCCTGTGTTTCATATTTCTCATCTATATAATGAGGAGTAGTAATAATCCCTGAGTCACAGGATTGCTAGGAGTATCATGTAAGTAATAAGAGTAGAGTGTGTAAAATATGATACATTCCATGTAAAGGAGTAGCTATTATTAGTTATACCTCCTCATGGACTGATGACTTAGGGGGGTTTTCTGTAGCCATTCCTGGCAACAGTCACAAAGGACTGAGGGGGGCTATTGGTGCCCCTAATCTTTTCACCTGTACTTTGTATCAGGCCATCCACCAAACCACCCACCTGCCACACAAGCAGTCCTTTTTCCCACTTCCAGCCCTTAGTTCACATCCTGGCACACCTCTGCCCACATCTCTGCCTCCCCAGTGCCACCCAAGCTTCCAGGTTCATCTGCAAATCCCCTTCCCCACTCTTCTAGACCTCACTGGCAAACCCATCTCTGAATTTCAGTGGACCTAAAAAAGAGCCATGCAACTAAGCAGTGGATCACACGCTGCCTGACTCCTAACTCTGGAGGGCAACAAGGACGAGGAGAGCTGTCTCATCACCACAACAATCCTATATGGCAGACCCATTCTGCAGATGAGGAACCTGAGGCTCAGAGAGGTAAAAAGACTTGTCCAGGGTCAAGGCGCTCAAAATCACTCTTCTCAGCATGGCCTAATTCATGGTGTCTATTCTGTGTACCATGGGTACAGACTAGAATCTGCTCAATTTCTCAAGTCTTCTTGGAATCCTAGAACCTCCAAGACAAGACTCTGGCCACCTGACGCACACTAGGCATCTGGTTCTCAAGGAATGACTCCCATTCAGCCAGGCTTGCTGGTGCATGCTTTAATCCCAGCAACTCAGAAGGTTGAAGCCAGAGGATTGCAAGTTCAAGGCCAGTCTCAGAAATTCAGTGAGACTAACCCCAAATACCAAAGATTAAAAAAAGAGAGAAGACTCCATTCCGAGCCTCATCCTCCCCTTGTCTTCTTAGTGCTCACTGTGAGACACTTTTAACTAGGTGTAAGCAACGAAATCCATTCTCGTACACTTTAGAAGAGCTGTACAGTCTTCCCACTCTGCTCTGATTTTCACTATTGCTAATAGCTATTGTCACAGGAGCTATACATTTGGCTCAGCCCTAGAAGCAAATGCTTATCCATCCCCCGCCCACCCACCCAGGCATGTATTGTTTTATCCATCCACTCAACAAATCCTTTCTGAGCACCTATTCTGCACCAAGCACAGCATGATGCTCTGTGATGAGCCTCAAGGAGAACAGGAAGATGAGTCAAAGCAACTTAGCTGCCGTTCCAGAAAGAAGGCATGACTGCAGATAGCTCCAGTGGAAGATAGAGAATCACATGTGCAGGAAGACAGCACAGACCAGGAGGAGACAGGGAGAGAGATTACTCCTGCCTGGGTATTGGCTGGGGAAATAAGGTTCCTTGGAGGAGGAGGTCAAGTTTGAGGTCATCCAAAAAAAAGAAATTTGACAGAGAAAGTGACATGAGCAAAGGTGGAACATAGGGACACAATGGGTCTGTCTAGGGGATGGCTGATATAGCTAGATGGTCGAGCTCGAAGCTTGAGATACTTTTGGGACAGGAAGAGGATCCCACACTGAAATTACATTATGTTCTATGGGAAAGAGGGATCATAGAAGTAAAAACTTAAGTTTTTTTTTTTTTTTTTTTTTAACCAAAGAAGTGACAGGATCCATACACGGTTTGGGGGAAATGACTCTAGCTGTAGCCCTGGAGCTGGACTGGACAGTCCACAGGGAGAACAACAGGGAGCTGCGGTAGTATTTAAGCAGAGGATTGTGAAGGTCTAGACTTGGGCAGGGGCTGAGGACTGGAAGCAAGCAAATCAGGAAACCTAGAGGCAGCTGGTGCAGAGCAAGACTGGACCCCCCCAGGGGAGGGCAGGCGCCATCCAGAGACTGGGAGGGGAGGGGACAAGTGGAGGTGGCAGGAAGTAGCCTGCAGGCAGGTGGGAAGGTCCAGGAGGAAAGCAGCTGGCTGGGGCTGGGCTGGGAAAGGTGGTTTGGGAGTTACTTGCCTGGGGTGGTGGTCTGAACCCAGTGACTGCGGGAGGGGGGGGGAAGGAAGGTCAGAACAGCATTCCAAGAAATACTTTGGGACTGGAAGAAAGAAATAGCCAGGGAGGGCACAATCAGAAAGGGGATGGGAAAGGAGGTGGCCAGCTCCTGGGCAGGAGTGTGTCTAGTGATCCTCTGTGTCTTTAGCACACTAAGTGTGCATTCCACGTTGAGACAGGGGATGGGAGGAGTGCAAGGGCTCTGAAACCCGACTGCCAGGGGAGCCAGAGGCTGTTGCCATGGGGAGGGAGGGTGGGGAGAGGTGCCAGAGTGATTTCCCTTCAGTTCCCTGTCAAGGCCCTGATGCCCTCCTGGTTTGGGACGACAGAGAGGCAGGGCCTGGCCAGGCTATATGCCAAGGGGAAGTGGCACTTCTAAGCAGTGCCCTAGCAGGACAGGAGGGTGACTTTGAAAGAGGCAAGTTGCATGTTTTTAAGGGAAGGAGAGTCAACCATAATGGGAGGCAGCAAAGAAGGGAATGCAGAGGCTGTAGCAGCGAGGGGACTCTTAGCGGAGCAAGGTGCCAGTAGGGAGAAAGGGGATGGGTTTGTGCCCAAGCGGAGCACTGGCTTTGGAAGAGAGCTCACGCTTCCCTCAAAGGAGAGGAAAGGGCAAGAAGTTGGGTAACAGGGACACAGGGACATTTAGAAGGAGCCAACCAGGAGACTTGTATTCTCCCAGTGAGACTGAGAGAGGTTCTGTGCTGATCTTGCAGGTAGCCTAAGGCAGCGAGGAGAGTTTGGAGGCTCTCTCTGAGCTCAGCGAGGGCCTGGTAAAATGGGTGGCTTAAGAGTGTTTTGGAGCCTCCAGCTAGGCCTGGAGGTGGCCCTGGTGCCCTCCCCTAAACACCATGTGCGGGAGGACTGAGGGGGCAGTGGCTGTCAGCCAACATGGCATCAAGGTGGCAACTGCCCAGGAAAGGAGTGTGGGGAGGAGTTGGGGTAAGCCGTGTCCCAGGGCACACATGTGGTCAGACACTGAGACCCACACTCACATGTGCACAAACACCAGGCCGTGGGCATAGCCCGTGGGAACATGAGTCCAGATACTGATGGTCAGAGTAAGATTTAATAGGTGGTGTGTGCCAGGCACAATGGCACAGGCTTGCCCAGCTCCTCAGAAGGCTGAGGCAGGAGGATCCCACGTTGAAGGCCAGCCAGAACAACTTAGAAAGATCTTGTTTCAGAATATAAAAGGGCTGGGGATATAGCTCAGTGGTAAAGCACCTGCCTAGCATGTATGAGGCCCTGGGTTTGATCCCCAGTACCACCAAAACAGTGATAATAATGATAATTATAATAATAAAGTTGGTATTGGTATTTATGGAATATTATCTTTATGGCTGGTACTTTACACTCTTTGTTCCACTTAATTCTGATATCCAAGTGATTATTACTGTTGTTTCAGGTTTGTGGATGAGGAAATTTGAGTTAAACAAGTAGTAGGTTAAGGACACATTACTATGTAAAATTTAAGCCCATTAACCATAACACTGTTAGGGTACAGACAGATGTGAATGGTGGGAACACAAGGTTAAGAGATTAATTCTATAAAATGGGCTCACAGTGCTGACCCCCACATGATTTCTTTCTAAGGAGCAATTCACCTGCAGCCCTGCCTGATCTTAGTGGACAGGATATATCACATTCCTCAGCAAACTACCTGTTCACTGCAGGAGAAATGCAGGCCCAAAATAATGCTGATAAGAGGAACCCAAGTTCCACTGAAGGAGGAGACTTTTGTGATCAGAACCTGAAACTCTGGTAGATAAGGATTAATTCTTCCTAACCATAAAATCTGCAAGAATGTATGGTTAAGGAGCTGGGGCTGTAGCTCAGTGGTGGAGCACTTGCCTAGCCTGTGTGAGGCACTGGTTTTGATCCTCAGCATCACATATAAATAAGTAAATAAATAAAGGTATTCTATTCATCTACAACAAAAATGAATATTTTAAAAAATGTCTGGTTAAGAATCCAATTAGAACTGGTCAGCGTGGGCTAAAGTGACCTAGTGTTGCCATGACAGTGGGGACTTGAAAGTCTGATGTCACCCTGCTGTCAGTCAAAAGTCAGGCCGTGGCCCTGGGGGCTGGGTTTGTAGCTCAGTGGTGGAGCCCTTGCCTCCCATGGGTGAGGCACTGTGTTAGAGCCTCAGCACCACATAAAAATAAATAAAATGAAGGTATTGTGGGTATTATGTCCATCTACAACTAAAAGTATTTAAAAAGAGAGAAAGAAAAGGAAAAAAAAAGCCAGGCATGGTGGAGCACACCTGTAATCCCAGCGGCTTAGGAGGCTGAGGCAGGAGGATCTCAAGTTCAAAGCCAGACTCAGCAATTTAGCAAGGCCCTAAGCAACTCAGTAAGACTCTATCTCTAAACAAAATATAAAAAAGAGGATATTGCTCAGTTTCTTAGCATCCCTGGGTTTAATTTCCAGTTTAAGAAAAAATAAAGAAGATAAAGCTAAACTAATTAAAAAAAAAAAAAAAAGAAGTGGACTTGGGTAGGACTCTGTCTGGAAACTTCTCTGGGATCCCCAATAAAACAGGAGAGCAGGAGAGGCACACGGTCTCTCTCTTCTGAGAGTACCCACTCTCTTCCTTGAACGTGTCCCCTTTCCCCTTTCCTATCCCTTCAAAACTCATTCCTGTTACTCTGAGCGATGAAATCTTTCTGACTTGGTCACAAGAATCGGAGTTTGAAAAGGGGGTCTTCACGCTGCCTCAGTTTCTCAGAAGGCCCCAGCTCCAAAACCATACCACCCCATGCAAAACTGTGACATTAGTCACCAGCCCCTCTGTTCCTTACCCCTCAGCCCCTCTTTATCCACAGCAGGCCCCCCTGCAGGTCTTGCACAAAGCATCTGGGGCTCCTGCCCCTGGCTCTTTTAGGGTTCCACATCTAGTTCCAGTGCCTGCCCTGGGTCAGAGAGTGAGCTGATCAGTTACTTCCCTGGAGGTCCCAGAGACAGAAATACAATCATAGCCCTCTGGGAGTATTTTCTTTTTTTTTTTTC